AAAAAAAAAAAAAAACCCCCCAAAAAAAAAAAAAAAAAAAAAAAAGCAGACACAAAGAGACTTCCCTATCACCACCACCACGGAGCTGAGGAGTCCGTGAACAGGAGAGACATGTTGCTGGCATCCTAAGTTAGAATTTGGAAACCATCTTCCTAGATGACAGTTAGGCTCTTTAGTTATTTATCATCCAGCAAATACTTAATGAAGCTCTACCATGTGGGCCAGGTACCTTTCTAAGTGCTGGAGATGCAGCAGTGAATAAACTGTAATAAAGCCCCGATCTTGTGGAGTTTACATTCTCATGGAGACAGACAATTTAAAAATATAAATAACTAAAATATGTAGTATGTCAGATGGTGATAAGCGCTATACAAGAAAAAGTAAAGTGAGCAGGTTGTGGGAAAATAAAAAAGCAGGAATACGAGAAGGAAAAGCTGGTTTAGGCATGGGAGCACAGTGTTAAGACAAAGTGGTCAGGAATGACCCCACTGAGAAGGGGAAAAGAGCCCTGGAGGAAGGGAGAGAGCAAAGCATGCATTTCAGGCAGGATGGGAGTGGACTGGGCAGGTAGGAGTGGTTGGAGAGGCAAAAGTAGGTGCGAGGACAAGTGGAGAGGCCCTTGTGGGCCACAATGAAGTCTTCTGAGAGACGGAAAGCTATAACACGGGTAGGGGCATAGGGGAGGCATGATCTGAGTCATATTTTCAGTGTTTATTCTGGCTTCTGGGCTGAAGATATCCTAAAGGAAGGAACAGAAGCATAGAGCATGATGGTGACTTGGAATAGGAACCATATTTCTCAATCTTTTTTTCATCATTAATCCCTAAAGAGACTTTTTAGACATTTTTTTCTGAATCACACCCCACTAAGGACATTTTAATATCTCAGCTATTAATTATGAAGTGTATCTAAATATATACTATATTTGTATCTGTGTTTTGTACTCAAAAAGTAAGAGACTTATTCAGGTATCCCCAGGAAGAAATCAATATTTCTCTGGGGGCAGGATCTCCTTCATTGAGGTACATTGATGAGATTGGTAATACTGGAGTATCAGATCTGTTCACTTAATTTTTATAAAATTATAAAAATTAAATCATCCTGGATTTCAACCACTGAAGACCCTCTGCCCAGACTTTACCCTCCTGCTTCCCAGTCTAGCCAGGAGTCAGGATAAGCCAATCAGCAACCATCTATATTTGAGTTCCAAGCAGCCCTGTTCAGGGATTTCAACCACTGAACCCTCTGCCCAGACTTCACCCTTCTGCACTCCAGTCTAGCCAGGAGTCAGACTGCAGGTCACTTCCTTCTGCATTCCTCTGATTACTCAGATTTAACTCCCAAAAATAGGAAAAAATGGAAAATAGGAAAAAAATCATCAGATGACCAGAAACCACTGCAAAGGCACAAGAAATATGAGAAACGAAGAAAATATCTCTCCTCTAATAGAAAAGAGTAACTTCTCTTCCTCCACAAAGGATACAAGGGAACTCATAGAAATGTCAGATAAAGAATTTAAAATATTCATAGTGGCAAAGCTAACAGAGATGCAAGACAATAGAGACAATGAACTCCAGAAGATGCAGGGGAAAAGAGACACTGAGTTCCAGCAGGTGAGGAAGTTCTTGCATGATCTGAAAGAGGAGAACACATCATAAAAAATAACCAAACTGAATGGTTAGAGATAAAGGCTGTAATACAGGAAATCAAAAATATCAAAAGCAGGAACCAGCAGTTAGCGTAATGGCTATGTCGCTGGACTCCCACGTAGTCGACCGCGGTTCGCGTCTCGGACCCGGTGGCTTAAATCTCACGCCGGGCGCGTGTGCGTGCGTGCCCAAGATCCCGAGAGGAGAATGGAGGAGAAGGGATTGCGGCGTGACCATCCCCCCGGGGGGTGATTTCTTGCTTTCTGTCTCTATGTCTCTCTCTGTCTGTCTGGCGAGCGAACGCGCCCTATAGCGAAAACCTCTCCAAAAAAAAAAGAAAAAAAAAAATCAAAAGCAGATTAGATCATGTAGAAGACCAAATCTCAGATCATACAGAAGATCGAATCTCAGATGTAGAAGATAGAACCTCTTATCTAGAAAAAATTCACCAAAAAGACTGAGAAAATAACCCCTCCCATGAGAATAACATACAAATAATAATATATATCATTAAACGCCAAAACACCTGGATCATTGGTATCCCAGAAGGTGAAGAAACTAATAAGGGTATTGATAATCTATTTCAAGAAATCCTGGAAGAAAACTTTTCAAACCTAGAAAGACACTCAAATATCCAGATCCAAGAAATACAAATGACCCCACATAGAATCAACCTGAGAAGATCTTCCCTGAGGCACATCATAGCCAGATTGATCAAAACCACAGACAGAGACAAGATACTAAAACTGGCAAGAGAGAAACTTCAAGTTAATTTCAAAGGATATCCCATAAGGCTAACATCGGACATCTCATCGGAAACAATGCAAGCAAGAAAAGAATGGGAAAATACATTCAAAGTGTTAAATGAAAAACAATTTTAACCTAGAATACTATACCTAGCTAGATTATCTTTCATATGGGAAAAAAGAGACAAAAACATTCTCAGATAAACAAACCCTGAAAGAATTTACCAACACCAGACCAAGTCTCTGAGAAATGTTATACTAGGAAAATTAAAGTCGGACACACAGAAATAAGAGTATAAGAAACAACCAAGAGAATGGCCAACCTAATGGTAGGGACAAGTCCTGAGTTGAATGTTACCTTCCAGAGTTTAAATGGGAAGATTAGAACACAGTAACCCTGCAAATTCAATAGAAGAGAGATTACGTGAGTCCAGTGAAATAGAATTTTTTTACTTTAAACTAAACATTACTGATTTTGCTTGATGCTTTGATTTTCATATTTAAGGGTTTCTATCTTCTCTGTAACAATTGCTAGGTTCATCTACCTACTATTTGAACTGAATCCTAACCTTTTTCCTGGCTTTAAGTTTTAAGCAAATGTCTCTTAACATTTTTTTATTTTAATCTATTAAAATTAAAACTTTTTTTTGAAATTAAACATTGCATTTAAAAATACCTATTAATACCTATTTAGTGACTCCAATAAGCTATATAACCCCAAGGAGGTGCTACTTTATAGTATGTTCATTTATGCCTAAAGTCAGACATGTGTTCATAAATACATAGATATCAGCTGTGCTTGCTATTGAAAGTTTTTAAGTTAATTAAGATCTTTATTGAATCAATAAAATGTGAGGAAAAAAGGTATGGAAAACAACTGTACATACCATATACAATGTGGGAGAAGGGGGGTAGATGGCAGAGGGTTAGAGATAGGGAATCAAGGGGGGAAAATAAAGCAAAATGTATAAGAAATAACAGATAGAAAATTATTTGTTGATTATAACATGTATGGTAATATCCTTGATTGAGCCAATATACAATGTATACTGGATGGAAAATCTCATTTTGTATACTGTATTGATGTACAGTAAATGACTATAAATAAGTAAATAAATGAATAAATAGATAAATAAATAAATCATCCTGGAGAAAAATCTTAAATAATTTTATACGTATATATGGTTAGAAACATATAAAAATATCTAATGTGTTTTCAAAATACACAATTTCTTTTTCAAAAATAGCTAATAACAGCATTAAATTAGTCTCATTCTTTTATACTCCGAAGCCTGAGATAATATTATGTCTTTATTTTATGTAAAACACAATGATAACAATTCAAAAAAGGATCCCTAGGAGATATGAAAAAAATCTCAACAGAAATAGTTCCAAAAGATATTTGGAAAACTGATTATCTGGGGACCAGCACATGGCATAATGGTTATGTCATTGGACTCCCACATAGTTGACCATGGTTCAAGTCCTGGACCCAGAGGCTTAAAACATTCCGGGGCATGTGTGGGTTTGTGCCCAAATCACAAGAGGAGAATAGAGGAGGAGGGATTGTGGTGTGGCGTACCCCCCGGGTGGTGCTTTCTGTCTCTCAGTCTCTGCCTTTCCAGTGAGCATACATGCCATATAGCAAAAAAAATCTCTCTAAAAAAAAAAAAAAGAAAGAAAGAAAGAAAAAAAAAAGAAAAGAAACTAATTTTCTGTGAAATGTGCACTTGTATGAGTATTGGGAGGGTATGTGGGTGTGTATTTTCTTTGTGAATTCATGGATCACATTTAATTGGAAAGCTCTATATATTCAGATTAGTATCTCTGGGGATGATTAAAAAAGTAGATTTTTTAAAGAATTATTTATTTTATTTTTATTATATTTTAAAATTTGCTATAGGGCATATGTGCTCACAAGAGAGACAAAGAGAAAGGGAGAAAAACTGAAAAGCAAGTCACCAAGATTCAAACCATGGGTTGGCCATGTGAGAGTCCAGTGCTTTAACCACCATGCCACCTGTTGGTCCCCAAAAGTAATTTTTAATAGTTGTTGGTTTTTATGGTTTTATTCTACTTTAATTTTTAAGTAACTCAGGACTTTCAAGCAAAAAGTTGTTTTCTTTTTCATTCCTTTAAAAAAAATAACAAATTCAGTTTAGACTTTATTGCTGGAAATTGAAATCTATCTTATTCCATTGACAGGTAGTAGAAGACGGGATGTGATTAAATGTATTGTCAAGATTCCTCAACTGGATTTACTAATTGCAGCATCTCAAAAAGGAATAATAACAGTTTTTAATAGCCAGGTAATTTGAGAGCTTGAATTCTTCTCTTCCCTTCTTTCCTCCCTTCCTTTCTCTCTTCTGTTTTGTCCCTGCTTGTACATATGTAGCAGGGATAGCTGAAACTATAAACCATATTTTAGAGTTATTCTAAAAAATGAAGCCAAGTATTTAGCAATGAGGAAGTGATTGAACCCCGGGGCAATTTTTGAAATTTGTAATTGCATTTGGCATTGTTCCTCTGGATGTCCTATTGAACCATGTGGCCTCAACACAATAAAGGATGGTTTTGGATAACCCAGATAAAATAAGAAACACAAGCCAAGTGATTTCTTCATTTTCTTACTTAGTAATAAAAGGTCCCATCAAGAACCTTGGACTAGAAGTAAAAATATATCTCAAATTCTAGTCTCTCTATTTTACTATGATGTTGACTAGGGAGCTTTATGAGCTACTTGATCTTTTCAGTTCTCTTTTTCTATTCATAAAATGAGGTCAATAGCCAGTCCTCTGTCCCTCAGAGGACTGGGGTGAAGGTAAAATAAGATAATGAATATAGAAACATTTTATGAACAATAAATCTCTCTATAAATATAAGGCATTAGTATTGTTAATGTCATTTCTTCCTAAATTTTTAAGTTTGGACTTCCATTCCCAAAATACAAAAGATTTTAATGGAATGTGTGATGATATAGCCTAAATATTTCACTATGAAGGTGAACATTTGATGTTAAATATATTTTTTAAATTCCAGTTGTTAATTCACATCCAGAGACAGCCTTTAATGCAAGTAAAATATATTGAGATCATCACTGCATGATTAAAACTTCCATGACAATGTTCAGCCCTTCAATGATCTCCAGCACAGCGAGTCTTGAAGAAGTTGAAGTCATAGTCTGCCAGATTAGATGGCCTGCTGCTCTCTGGGGGTGGTACAATGACTAATTCAAATCTCTGGTACAGAGCCTGGGTTTCTGCATATTGATAACACTTACAGCTCTGCACATTACTTAAAATCTCCATGCCCCGCTTACTCATCCAGAATCATAGAAGTTCCCTTGCAAGGTAGCTGTGTTGCTGAAATGACTTAATACATATAAAGTCTTAGAATCATCATTGCATATGCTAAGTAAATGTTGGCTATTAGGTCAGCTCAGGGGGCCCAGTGCCAGCACAAGCAATGCTGAAAGCCATATGAAAGATCAGGGTTCATTCGAAGTTGGCCTACACATGCTGTGATTTCTGTCTGATTGAAAGGCTCTGGTGGGCAAGCCAGTTGTGTATGGTTAAGGCAACTGGATTCTATGTGGGCAACTGTATGGTTCGAGTCCCAGAATCTGCAGCTTGAGGAACACACCATGCTTGTATGTGTGTGTGTGTTTGTGTGTGTGTGTGTGTGTGTGTGGTGTGTGTGAGTGCTATGTGTGTGTGCTCAAGGTCTATAAGGGAGGAAGAGTTGGAGGAGAAGGATTTCAGTGTGACCATTCCTCCTGGATGGTGCTTTGTCACCTCCCCTCTCTTTCTGGGTCTCTCTGGTGAATGCATGCAAAATATTTTTAAAAGGTTATGGCTGTGGGTACGGCGGTATGGTGTGGGACCCTGTTGAGGGTGCTTATCTTTCACTCTCACAAAATAAATAAATAAGTAACTTTTAAAAAGTTGGTAATTACTATTATGAACAAATGTGGAAACAAAAATGTATCTGCCTTATTTAAATATGAATTGGTCCCTTGGTCCCTTTTCCCATCGTGTGTGTGTGTTTGCGTGCGCACGTGCGCATGTGTGTGTGTGTGTGTGTGTGTGTGTATTTAAGAATTATTTCATTTAACTTATTTATTTATTTATTTATTTATTTATTTATTTATTTATTTATTTATTTAAATTTAACCAGAGAGGGACAGAGTGAGAGACAGAGGGGGAGAAAGTAAGAAAGCAAGCCATCAGGTTTGGGACTCAGCACCCTTAACCAGCACACCACCTGCTGGCCCCTCCCTCAATGTATATTTTACCTTTATTTCCTTAAAAACAAAACCAAAATGGTATCTAAAGAATAATGTGAGAAGGAAAATAATGGTTGGCATAATGAAATAGTTCAGGATTATATGAAATAAGTGAGGTGGACATTATCATATTTCAAATATACATTTATACATTATAAATGCATACACATATACTCAAACACAGACATTCATCTGTTTTTTTCTTTAATACAACTGGAGGGAAAGATTACTAAAAAAATTATTATTTTAAGATTTGTTACACCGTGAGTGTTGTAGGCCTTAGAAAGAAGATGACATATTGTGTGAGAAATGTATTTGGGAGTGTAGGTTACAGGGATAATTTATGAAAAGCTAGCCTTAATAACTCAAAATATAACAGGTTAATTCATAATTTAGGCACTCTCTGAAGCTAAGGATTTCCTTGTTGATAGAGAGTATAGATGTCATTAATAAAAATTCCTATGAAAAAGACTAGATTTTAGAAATTGAGATAATACCTCTAAGTATTTGCAAACTTTTAAGGAAGGTAAAAAGACTGTACACAGGTAACGTCCACT